GGGCGGGCTGCCTCGGCGGCGGCTGGCTCTCCTCACCCCGCCGCGGTCAGCGCCTGCGGGCCGGGGAAAAAACTTTGGGTGCCGGTCGTGGTGCTGGAGTTTGAGGAGAAGCGACTCGCTCTGCGCGCAGAAAGTGGAAGCGAAAGGACGAGGTGCTGCGGGGAAGAGTTTCTTCTCGACGAAACAAAAACGTGCTGCCTTAGCCCGGTACCGCGCTATGTCCTGACGGCCACCACACGCCGTAGGGCGAGCGATCGCTTCACCTGCGCTGCTGTCGCCTTTTTCCGAGTCCTGTAGCTGCCGCTCGTTTTCCTGCGGTGAGCTATGGCATGAAAAGATCTTTATGTATCATTTAAAAAAACTTGGATGCTAAAAATTTTGAAACTCCGCCCTGCAGCGTGACGGCGTTCCTCTTGCCGCCTTAAATGTCTCCGTTGTGTTTTTATCGACTGTCCGATCCTCAGTCAGAGCTGGTAATTTATTGTGTGAGCGTCTCAGCATTTATTTATGCAATGTTCCCTGCAGTTATATAATACGTAGCTGACATTTTGTCTGGAGATGCCCAAAGAGGTTTCCAGATTTCATTTAGTGCACAGTTAGTTAAAAACTGGATGTTTTGTGGGTTTGTACAACTTGGAAGCGTCAACATGTGTTTTTTGAAAAAAATTTTAAAATTAAGGAATAAAGCTTATGTAACTAATTTTCTACTTACTTCGATCAACCGATTTTTCTGTTTCCTACAGCTCCAAATGACCACTTACTATACAGCAACCGGTCCCAGATTAACTCTACTTTGAAAGCTTGTGAAGATGCGTTGCATGATGCAGAAACAGCATGCAGACTCCAGCCATACTGGTTGAAAGTAAGTTCTGACTCCAGCTGTACTTTGTTTTAAAACCTCAATACCACCCTGATAGAAAACTGTTAGAATGGTCAGACAGCTGAATCTGAAGGAAGCTTTATGTCCTGCAACTTCTTGGACTCCTGTGACTCACAGACATTTAATCATGATATTCTTGAGCTTTCCTGGGGTGAAGGAAGAGAGTGATAATCCTGGAGGATGAGCTGAGGCTATTGTCTTTGACCTGGATGAATCTCAAGTTCATGAACTCTCTCTAAAAATTGAATGCTGTGCTTACATCTTTCTGTAAGGATATGGTGACTATTTTAGGAGACGAATGTAGGGGAAGCAGATTTTTCCAAGATCTTTTGGGCTCAGGTGCTGTGAGAATCACACTTACTTGAGTTAGAGGACATCCCAGTTCTGCCTGTAAGAGTTTTCAGGACCACTGTGGTTAAAACCCCAGACACTGGTGGTGTCTAGGTATAAGAGATAGTTATAGTGATTCTCCCTGCCTAACTTTTTCTTCTCTGGAAAGATCTTTTGTCATTTCATCTTGGTTTTATTGCATATTCTCATGACAAAAGAATAAAAGCTGCAATGATGGATGTGTTTCATTGCAGGGTCACCTAAGGAAAGGACAAGCACTAGCTAATCTGGGGAAAACAGAAGAAGCTTTAAGAGAGTTTCTATTCTGCCTTGCTCTAGATACTGGGAACAAGACAGCCAAGTCTGAGGCACAGAAGGTGAGTTCCCTAAATCATCTGGAACTGCATTATTGTTTTCAGTGGCCTTTCATAAAGGAGGATAAGAATTTTTCTCTTCCCCCCCATCTCTCTCATTGCTGCAAAGAGCTGGATGGAGACACATATCCAGACTGTTGTTCAAATTTGAGTTGTGTGTAGTGCTTACTTGAAGATAGGGAGGTAGCAAGAAGACATACTCAGCAGGCACTATGTGGAAATGGTTATGGTGTTAGCATCAGCAAATTTGAAGTAAAACTGAATTGTTAATAATTGCCACCCACAGACTATTGTGTTTCTCTATAGTCAAATTTCTGATCTGTTTCCTAGCTTGGCAATGTATTGCCAATGACAGAGTGCAGAAGAGGGGGAGTTGCTATTGAATATTGTATCAGGCCATTGACTGCCAGAATGCAACACGCACCACCCGTCAAACTCCACTTGGGAGCAGCAGCTCTCTTCCTACCACCAGTCGTGCTGCACTGAGTATCAGTGTGTGAAGGAGGCGTGAAAGGAAGCAGTCAACAAAAGAAGAGCTGTTTTAAAATAGTTTTTAAAGGTTGCTAATAATGCTAAATAAGCAACAAAATGGACCTGCAGTGAGGCTTTTCTCAATAGCAGCTTAAGATGTGGTGTGTGGGTTCTTAAATAGCTTTTGTGAAGACTGCTCTGTTTTGCGTACCCCTCAAACCTCTGATTTGTTGGGAATCATTTTTTTGACATTTGACCACAATGTTGTTGTTGTAGCTGAAAGGCTTAGTGTCACAGTGATAGCTTATGGCAATAAAAAAGTAATAGTTCTATTTTCCTTGTACTGAATTTTCTTTTATGGCAGTGCATTCACGCTTTTCTCCATCACTGGTGGGATGGGAACTTCGGGGTTTCTGTGTGCTGAAATACGTAAGGCTTTCTACAAGCACAGTAGAATTCTTACAGTAAAGCACTGTTCATGAAGGTAACTGAGAGTGTAACCTGGATGGCCATAATGCAGTCAAATTCTTATCTCATTTTGTATGTGGTTGAGATTTTCATCTCCTGTGAATTTTTGTCACTGGTATCTGGGGGTTTTGTTTGGTTGGGTTTTTTCCCCAGCGGGCTCCATGCAGTCTTTCACTGTCACTGTGTCACGATTTGTTCTCATAGTCATGCTGGGAGACTTCCTGTGCACTAGAGCAAAAAGAGCAGGAACAAACGGATATGTTTCTAAATTCTGACTCCAAATAGCCTTATCCAAGACACCTAATTTCTGAGCAGTGGGGTTCTGAGAAAAACTAGGCTTCTTATGACTCAAAGAATTACTTGTGCACTCATCAGACACAGAGTTCATCCATGGTGCAATATTCTACTGGGTCATTTCCAAGCCTGTTTGCATAACAATGACATACTACATTTTACCAAATTCTTCGGGTGCAGCTGTGATGTTCTGCTTGTATTAACTGTCTGTCCATGTTAGTTTTGACATAGTGTGATCCTGTGGAATCCTTTCTGGCTTTAAAAAGAAATCTTAGCTGTTATGTGGCTTCCTCAGGGATCAGCAGGATCACCTTAGTAGTATGTTGAAATTAGTTTTTGAAGTGTGAGTCTTCTATTCAGCTCTGTTTCTTTCCTTAAATGATCATCTGATAAGCTGTGCCGTACAAGTGGCTATAAGCTGCTACTTGAAACAGATTCATTTATGTTCTCATAGCAAATGAAGAAATAGCATTTTTCTACTGCCTACATTTTTTGTATTCTCAAGTAACTGAATTAAAGATAGCTACAGTTTACAATATCGGAGACATTTACTTAACTGAACTTGGATTAAGCCTGTGAGATGAGTGCTCTCTGTACTAGTAAACTCCAGTGAAAGCTTCTGATGTGCAGCAAAAAACCCCATATTTAAGATGTTAGTAATTTCTGGTGAGCTCTGAACTGCAGGACAAAGAGGACAAAGGCACATGTGTGTCACATCACAGAGAATGGTTAATAACTTTATGGGCTTATTTAACTCTGAAAATGTCTCTTGCTCTCTGTTTGGCCTATATTGCATTAGCTCTTGCACTTTTTGTTCTTACCCTAGTCTAAAGGGCTCTTTAAATGGTTTGAACAAAATCAAGGATGCTTCTTTCAGCTATTCCCTTACTTGCTTTTTCATTTAGAGGTTGCAAGGAAGGAACTAAGCAGTGAAGTGTTCTGTTTTATATCACAGCTTCTACTTAGTTTGTTTTCACTCATCCCGGGAAATGCTCAGGAACACTTACCCGATATCCTGCAGCTGTTGTCACATCACTCTAGATTAAAGGGGAATCTCCTAAATTCAGTGGGATCTGGAGGCACCAGCCATAACCTACAGAGGTTGCTCAAGGTAAAGATCAAGTCTGATGTGTGGTTCTTAATTTGTTGTGTGTTTTATGTTCACATTGGGAAGCCTTCTCTCCTTTTCACCTCTGGGAGTTAGGAGGATAAATTTTCTCAGATTTTTACTGAGTTTCAGAAGATAGAAAACAATGTTGATGTACTGAAGTCTCTTTCTCTGACTTCTTTTTCTTTAATAGAAGTCCTCTGTTGTTGTTCTGATCAATTTTTATGCCAGAGTTGAGTGGCTTCTATTCCTGTAACTGTCTTTAGCTCTTCCAAGTAGCTGGTAGTGGGAAAGGGCCTCTGAAGGTTGGATTGAGATACCCTCAAAAGCTGTGAAATGCCAAAATCTAGGGTTTCAGCTTGAACTGTAACTGATGATGTCAGTGACAAAATCATCCTGCATTCAGATTCTGTACACTCTGCAGAGGTTATTGTGGAGCCACGTAAGATACATTAGCTACTCTAAGTTTGGTTTCCCAGCCATAGTTTTGTAAATGGCTGTAGAGGTTCACATTCATGGGTTTGTAAGGGCCACTTTTGCTTCACCGAAACCTGAACTTTGAGGATAGGTTTTGCACAGACTGTATATGTAGGAGAAAACTTCACTAGTCCTTACAAACAAAAATGGTAGGTTTTGAGCAGCCTTGTTGAGACTGATAAGAACAAACAGTGACATTGCCTTCTGGAAAGGCTATTAGGATATTCTGACAAGAAATCCTTTTGTATGACCCTTTCCTGAAGTCATTTGAGGGACAGGTCACTTATCTTTCTGCATGTTACACATCACCACAGCTCCTGATCACAATCCACAGGATCTGCTTTCAGGTTCATCTGGGAAGTTGATGTGACAAGCTGATAGGTGATGTCCTGTGTAATGGCTGCTCACAGGTTGTTCTGTAGCCATAACAGGATAAAGACTGATAATTTTATCCTTTGCAAAAGAAATCTGTCACACTAAAGGAAGCTCTGTGCATCTTCTCTGTTAGAAATTGTGTGTGTTTATACTGCTTCCTTAAAATAAACTTGCATTGTTTTGGTTGTTTTGATGGTTGACACCATCATTATGATATGAGCAAAATGTATTTTTCCATAGGTTAAGTGATAACAATATATTTAACCTGAGATGTCACATTTCTGCCTCAATCAAGTTTCATGACCAAGCTATAAATCCACACATAAGGGCTGAAAATATTCAGTGCCATGGTAGGGCTGGGGAGGGGAATAGTTAGCTTTTTTTTTTCTTCATTAAAATCAGGCCCTGACACAGCAATTCTCAAACTGTTGCTTCTTGACCTACAAAGTCCTTTCTGGTGATCCATAATATTAAAGACTTGTGACAGGTCTGGGTTTTTTTTTCTTTACCAAGGTGTTAGATTGATCTAATGTCAATCCTCTCTTCACACAGGTAAATGTGGAACAGAAAAAGGGTTTTCCCATTCAAGAGGAACCAAATGTAACTACTTCTGGTAGTTTGAGGAAATCTGTACAAATTACAGAGAGCAAAAAGGACTGCTCAGAGGAGGAGAACAAAGTTACCTCCACGCCAGAGTCTACCTTTCTCATTTCTGAGAAATGCAGCCTCCTGAAAAGGAAGTGCTGCTCAGAGGAGATGCGAAATGCTGAGGTAACCTGCAAACTGATGAAGAAAGGTATGTTTAATTATGCACAGGATAAGTCCCATGGCATGAAAGCAATGGAAATTTTGCTTTTATAAAACTCAGAGGAAGAGGGTCCAAATTACACTTTGGCTTTTATATTTTCTCTTTAGCCTAATCAGGGCATGATGTGGAATCTTTCTTGTATGTAAAAAAAAAACAAACCCACCAAAAAACCACAAACAAAAAACTATATTAGTCTAAAAAGGGGGCTAAGAAGGTTGGGTCAAGTGCTTGTTTATCAGCAGGGCTCTGAATCTTTTAAGGAACATCAATATCATGCATGGTCTTAGCACTTTCTGCATCAATTTAAAAAAGTTTGCTTAAAAGCACAAATTCTGTTTGTTCATGATATCTGACCTTGTTTTCATGCTGTTGGATGTATTTACAATGGTATGACAGAAGAATTTGTCTCACTTTAGACTTCCAATGCTAATAAAAAAAATGTTTTGACATTAATTGTTAATGCAGGGCTAAATTCAACCCTCTAAGTGGGTATAATGTCACCAAAATTAAGGGGAGGTATGCCAAGGCTGAATTTGATGCTTTGCATAGAAATTATTGTAATGATGCTTAATGGTTCAGTAACTTGCAAGTATATACAATACACATTTAAATATTGGATGCTGGTTGTAGATACGTGGAATACCATTCTGTTTACATAGTTCTGTTCAATTACACTATAATTTTTTTGTTGTTATTGATAGATACAGTTGATACTAAGGGAAATAGTACTGGACAACATATTCCATTTGAATTCGTGGATCCATCAGATCTGGACTGCTCCCTTTGTATGAGGTATCCATTGTTTTTTCATAGATGTCTTCAGCTTTCAAGCTGTTTCTCTTTCCCTTTTATGACCTAGAGATTCTCTAGCTTACTTGGTAGTTATTTTTCCCTCCAAATTGAAATTAGTTTTTATTACAATTGTTGCTCCAGTGATGCATTTCTAGACCTTTGGTCCTGAACACTACTGGTGAATAGGAACTCTTTGACCTGCTCTAGGCTAGTGATTGTTTGGAAAAGGGCAGGTAGGGTCGTGTGAGGGTTAAGTGTATTAGTGAAGGTGTCTGAAGATTTCCTCTCACCGCTTACACGTGCCCACCCAGTGACACACATAGTGCACAAAACCATAGTTTGTCCTTTGGAATTTGTAGAGCCATGTACGATGATATCTAATGCACAAAAAAGCTAAAGAGACCACATCCAATGAACATTCCAAGTTTGCATGTAAGATACTGTGTTGCTGCTATTGCAACAGGAGGTTCTTGCAAACAAACAGCTTGTTTTTCCTCTATTGCTTAAGAGATGTGTTCCTTAGTTTACTAAGGCCGTCATTCCATTTGCTTGATGATCTCTTCTTCCAGTTAACAGTTATTCTTGGGGACAGCAATGACTTGATAAAACCAGTAGGAGTTGTCAACTACATCTATTTTGCTACTTGTTTTGCAAAGAACATTTTAACTTTGGCAAATATACATGTGGGGTTTTGTTACTGACTTAGAAGGAAATATTGGGAAGGTGTTTCACATGGGTCTTGACCTCTGCAGTGAGTGTTGCTTTGGGTAGTTAAAAAAACAAACCTGATTTATCAATAATGCATGTTGGGGTTAGTTTTGCACTATATTTTAAATTCTTAAATAGCAGATAGCCTCTTTGTGGATTTATTTCTGAAGGCCTGTGCTTTTGAGAAATCTGGCTTTGCTTTGTTTTGTTTTTTGTACGTGCAGGGTGGGACTTCAATTTATTTCAGATGAACTGAAACCTTTGGGGGAACAACTGCTGTGTTGTTTGATTTGCTTCTGCTTGGAATAAATCAGATCTGCCCCCTCTCCCTCCGTCTGCTTACAGCTGAAACATGCTCCAGAAGTTTATACAGCTGTCAAAACACTTGATACTGCTAAGAGCAAAACTTTCCTCTAACAGAAGGCCACACAGTTAGTCTTAGCTGGTTTTAATGAGTCTGCATGTTTATGATCATTGTGTCCACAAAGCATTTTTCAGAGGTTTTTTATAAAATTAATTAGCCATACTTCCTCATCCTCTCTGTAAAATCAAAAACAGCCAGACTACAATCATTTGTAAAGGAATTAGCTCAAGGATTGCCGATTCCCTTACAGTACAGAGGATGGTGATGCTGATCTTGTAATTGCAATCACAAATACAGGCCTTGCGTCTAGCTGTCACAAGATCTTTTTCTTGCTATTAATGCAGATTGATTATAATTATTTCCTGCTGTGTTCTTCAGAAGTATTTCAGGGATTTGGATCCTGAGATACTTTGGACTAATTACCTGGTAACCTACTGACCTGTTCACAATTAACTGCAGGAGCTGTTATTAACCTATTTGTTTGATGGAGTGGCCAAAATGTTACTGATCTACATTCACTCCAACAGCAAGCAGAAATAAAAAGTAATAGTTAAAGCAACATACTAGTGAGAAATGAAGGAGCATTACTCAGCAGGAGTGAATATTTAGTTTCTTGCTGTTACAATAGCTTAAAATGATGTCATGAGAAATCTTGGTGTATAGTGTTTCTTTCTGCAAGTCATGAGGCTTGGTTCAGGTCCTCTTAGAGTCGTTAGGAAAAAGCTGCTGCTGGCTTCCGTGAGAGCTGGAGCATTCAACAGGAATTTCCCGTCTTTATGCTAACAATTCAGGTCAAGTAAGTCACTATTAAATAATTACATATGCAAACCAATGCTTACTGAAACATATTGTAGAACTCAGTATTTTACACAGTTTAAAGCAATAAGGTAGCCTTGGTGCAGTGAGGTTTCTGTTCCCGAAACAATTAACAAGGGTTTTCAATTATACGGCCACGTTGCAATAAGATAGGTGTCGTATTTTAGATACTTCTTCATATGTTCCCCTGCTTAAATGTCAATATTTACAGTAACTAATGACATGTAATATACTGGCTATGGCAATCTCGTTAAGAGCCAATTATGTTCTTACACTCATCTTGTTTAAAGATGCTAATAAATACAGGTTTACATATTTATAATTTCCACATGTATAACAGAACTTAGTGTACTGTTTTGATAAACTCTGATATTTTTAAGTAAACTTACTAATTCATTTAAGTTATAATTAGACTAATATTTGAGACCTTAAAATGCTTAGACACTATGTTGTAAAATATAGCTTATGCCAAACAACTTAATTTCTAGTCTTGAATGTTTTCTATTAAAACAAAACAAAAAAACTTCCATATTATTTACATCTCCTTAAGGTACTTATTGGCAAGGAAACATCACTTTGCAATATCATGTAATCATAATAAGTAAAAAATCCTTACATGAAAATAAGCGTCACAGAGGTACTTGAAATAGGTAAATATTAGATACCATGATACTTTGAAGACCTGGCCTCATATATTTAAATTTTTTTCTAGATGAAACATGAACCTAATGTCACTCATTTTCCAGAAAAGCAGTCATTTCAAGGTTAAAAACTGTCTATTCCAACAGACTGCTTTCCAAGTCACATTAGAATTGGCAATAATAGTTTATTGCAATCACTTATGTGGGCTATTACTGCAAATAGCGATTTTGTGCTTAGCTCTACACATACAAGTAATCACATGATTTCCACAGCAATAGTTGTGCAAGTATTGCTCAATTTCATTAGAAAAAGTCAGATGGTCCAACTTCTGCTTCTATTTATTGCTTACATAGAGGAAAATTAAATCCTGGCTTGTCGGAAGTTAATGTCAATACACTCTCTCACATTCACTGAAGTCGGAGTTTATGGGCTGCCTTTCATGTTAGGTGGCAATAAGAAAGTTTGTAAGCTGAATAAATACAAAAGTTGGCTGAAGAAATTAAAAGCAAGGAACAACTTCATCCTTGGAGTAGTCAGTAGTTAAATTAGTGAATGAATACAGGGGTTTTTTTGGTAGCAGCTTTTTCTTTTACTTTGGTACTCAATGTTGTCTTTTTGATTTTGGATTTTCTAATCCAGGCTCTTCTATGAACCTGTCACTACACCTTGTGGACATACCTTCTGTCTCAAATGTCTTGAGAGATGCCTGGATCACAACCCAAAATGTCCCCTGTGCAAGGAAGGGCTCTCAGAGGTAATGATGCTTGGATTTTCTCAGCATGAATTCAAGGGCACAGGATAGGATCAAGTAGCACCTTCAGAAACCTTTGATATTTCCCAACTCAAAAGAAATATTATGTATCTTAAGAAGAATGTGACTTTTAAAATGCTCTTGTGACTTACAAAGCATGGATAGTCTCCCCTGTTCAAACCTTAGGGCCAGACCTGTACTTAGAAAATCTGTAGGTGGTTTTACTTCCCAGATTTCCCAAGACAATGCCCATAACATAGAGAACAGCTCACTAAACAACTCCTCAGTGGCAGTGCAAGCTTAAAAGATCATTTTGATTTGTTATAGACGTAAGAAAATGGAGCTAACAGATGACTACCTTGTGCATAGGCACCATACACTTTGATAATGCTAGACATTATCTATAACTGCTTGCGTGTGTTTTTACTGCAGTGCTTGGCTATGAGGAAATACTGTAAAACAGTACTAATGGAGGAGTTAATAGCTAGATATCTTCCAGAGGAACTCACTGAAAGAAGAAAGATTTATGAAGAGGAAATAGCAGAGCTTTCCAAGTATGTAATCCATTTATATAAAATCCAATCTTTAATACTACTGCTGTTAGCTAGTGAATGGCTCCTGCTGCTGTGGAAAATGAGCTAAGATGCTGACAAAGGAGCTTCTTTCTCGGTATCATGTGATTTCAAAGACAACAGGGTCTAGGTGAAATTGTGCTTTGAGTTAGCATAAAAACTGGACACTGTGCCAAACAAACAGAAGTAGAAGAAATCCAGAAGGTTGCTTTATAAACAAAGTATAAAGCAATATGGTTGCTTTCAGTGGCCCTCTGAAAGCCACAGAGTGAGACAATAAGGTGGAAGTAGTCTCACAGGCTGGGGGTTGGAATGTACTGTGTAGGGAAGAAATGGGATTAAGGAAAATAAATAAAAGCAGTAACAGAGATTCATTAATGCTCTCACTATCAAAACCAGAAAGCATAACTAAAAATTCTTCTGCTAGCAAGTGGTATATGACTTTCCATAATATCTAGTCAATTAAGGGGAAAAATAATTCTAGTTTTTACTTGCTCCATTAAGAATTTTATTCTAAAGATGTTATAATCTCTATTTATAGATACTATAATTTTAAAGCATATGTTATTGCATAAAATGTATTTTATACCTTTTCAGTAGTTTGGTAAAATGTCACATCTGATTTGTCCTTTCTTTCTTACAGCCTAAATAAGAATGTTCCTATATTTGTCTGCACAATGGCTTATCCCACAGTCCCATGCCCTTTGCACATTTTTGAGCCGTGTTATCGCCTGATGATTCGAAGGTGCATGGAGACTGGCACCAAACAATTTGGGATGTGCATCAGTGACCCTGTAAAGGGGTGAGTGAGCAGCATGCTTGGACCATGTGATGTATCCCACTTAGTCTGGAGCAAGTCTCTTTGGAGAGGTGGAGAAAGGTCCATGGCTGTAATATCTGTGATAGTTTTCCAGTAGAGAAAGTTTCTTCCTAATTATGCTGGTTAAAGACATTGAGAAGACTGAAATTTCTCTCCTGAGCACTTAGATTCTGACTAATATGACTGCCCATTTTTCTTGAAATACACATAGCTAGTGTGTATTATACAAAATTGAGCTGCAGACCTCTTGTAATACATGAAAAGGAAGTGTATTTTCTACTGTTTTGAAATCTGTTGAATGCTTTGGCACAAGAAATCAAATTGAAATGGCAGTAAGGTGTGTTGGCGGGTTTAGTTTTTTAAATTATGAAAAGAATAGCTAAGCTATTGGGATACATTTATATCCTCACTGTTCTGAATATAGTGGAGGCCACAGAGGTACAATAGGACCTTCATATGGACTGGCTGAGCATTTACACTGAGCCATTTGCAGGCAGTCTTGGGTAATTTGATCTTAATGTCTGTCTCTGTATTTAGCTTTTCTCCCTTCTTCTTATGGCATATACTTACAGGGTATGTATACGCCATAAAAAGTATGATGTACACAAAATACACACCTACAAAGTAAAATCTGCTGAAATTGTGGGAAAACCTTTTTCTTTATAGATTTTGTAGTCCTTCCACAGTTTTCTGAATTGCACTTGTTCTTCTATACAAATTGACTGAACATATTAGGATTATGGGGGAAGTGTGCTTCTGAGCTGTAGAATTTTCAATTTCATAAGATCTTCCCTGTATTCCAAAACATGCAGTTACTGTTAATCAGATTAGACAGCCTGAATCTTCCTGATAGTTTTGAAAACAATTGTGGAATAATTTGAACTACAGCAGGTCAGTACTATGAACAATAGAAATGAGCTGACACTGGTAAATACCTTTGTGGTAGGGACTGGCTGTACGGCAGTTCTGTGAAACTAAGGTTGGAGAGAATAAGACTTGTTTACTTGCTTTTGTTCTGATTTCAATAGGTTTGCAGATTATGGCTGCATTCTGGAGATAAGAAATGTTGAATTCTTTGCTGATGGTCGCTCTGTTGTAGACAGCATCGGCAAGAGGAGATTTAAGGTGATACAGCACAGCCAGCGTGATGGCTATAATACAGCGGATATCGAGTACATTGAAGATCAAAAGGTAAATTTAGGAATATTTCAGTTCAACTGTATTACATGTGAAATTCTAAGCACATATGTTTTTAGCGAGTTCTTTTTTTTGTAGAACAGTTTCTAGTAAAACAAATTTGTGGTATTTACTAACCACTCATGGTTAAAGATGGGAAACATAATAGTTACCACAAGCATGCACACACACTGCCCATATACTGAAGAGTGCTTTTTCCTAGAGGTTTTTAGCAGAAGACAAAACTAAGTGAATCCAGGATGAGATCTTGCCACTCTTCTGAACAAAGTAACTGCAGTTTATAAGGGGGTGGGAGGGAACCCGCCTCCATTTGCATGGAAGCCAATTAGAATACTCCCATTCAGGTAAGAAGGAGCAGGATTGGGTCCACTACACCTTCAAAATTATTTACATTAATTCTTATTAAAAAAAAATAATAATCTAGGCAGTCAAAGTATTCTGGGTGATATATGAGCTTTTGGTATATAATGGGAAGATAAAATGTCTACTCTGAGGAGCTGTTAATTAAAAAAAAAAAGCTTTGCATAGTCTTTTCTTCTGTGTTGTATGATGTTTATGTAATGGTGTTTTTATATAGCAAACCAGAAAGTACTTGTTCTGCAAACAGGTGTCTTTGGTAAGAAAGTGAAGGATTTGATAGATGGGGTGGGAGGAAGCAGAATGGGGGACACCAAACTAGCTTTCAGGAATTATCCCAGGTATCTCTTGTCATGTTTTTCTTTCTTTTTCTTTCCTCTACCCACCCCAGAAAATCCCCAAAATTAATGTTATGCCTTCCCCAACATGCAGACTGAACTAACAGTAACCTTCCACCTCTCTTTACTCATTTCAGGTGCAAGGACAAGAGTATGCTGCATTACTTGTTCTCCATGACTCTGTCTATGATCAGGCATATATGTGGTTTAACTCCCTCAAGCAAGCACTCAAAAGTCGAATTCTCAGTCATTTTGGTCCAATGCCAGCTAAGGATCCTGACCCACAGGTATGTAGAATCAGTAGTTTATGTAACTTTTAGAGACAGAAATAGCAGGGATATCTGATAAGCTGGGAGGCATTGTGTTTTAAGATGAAAATATGAATACTCTTCATTTTATCCTGCATAAGCTAAGTATCTAAGTTATTTTGCCATATACCAGTGGTAGCACAGTTGTGAACAAAAAGCTTGTATTTAATGTTGGTAACTTCCTGAGACTACTTAACCAACTATTAATCCCAGGAGACTTAAATACCATTTTGCCTACTCTACTTCCCCAATTAAATGACTGAGAAAATGAACAAGAGTACCAGGTTTCCTCTTGTCTAAGGACTGCAAATGGTAGGGATCCTAAAATAACAGAATATAACAACAGAAACTAAATATGAAGTAGTGTCTTAAAGTATGAAGAAGGGAGGCAGGAGTCCCAAAGAACTGGGTCAATAATAACATGGGAACAAAATCCATTTAAAAAAAAATAATCTAGAAGGTCCAACTTATAAACTAGAAATAGAAAGATTCATCTTGTTTCTGCCTTCAACATCCTATTTTTAGGAAAGGTGCAACTTGGTTGTAATTTATTTCAAGCCAGCCTGTAATCACAAGCCATTAGGTTGGCATTGAAATAACCTGCTTTGCTAGATTGCTGTCAAAATACCATGTTTTCAAAGTTAAATCTTCAAAAACAAGACCTTACCATCTACATGTATCCTAACCTCTATTTTTTTCCCCTTACTGTAGGCTAACCCTAATGGGCCAGCCTGGTGCTGGTGGGTCCTGGCTGTCCTTCCACTTGAGAACAGAGCTCAGCTCCCTTTCCTTGCCATGAAATCCCTCAAAGACCGCTTGAATGGCATCAGACGTGTCCTTACATTCATGTCTCGTACAAGATCACGGTGATGGTGAGAAGGAGAGCTGTGAAGTCTCCCACAGTATTTGACTGTAGACTGTCTCTTGTAACTTCCATCTAACTGCAATAATGTCTTACAGATTTGAGTGTCAGGATGTTTCAAGCCTGAATTTCAAAGAAAATGAGTTATAAAGAGCAAGGGATATTGCATCTGGAACTCTGAGATGATTATTGAATTACTGCACTGCTAAATTAATAACAAATGTGACAGAACAAAAAGTGATCTTGTTCGCCATAAACCTTTCAAAAAGCTTAAGGGTTTTTTTTAATTTATTTTATTTTTTTTAGTGGATAAAGGATAAACTGTGCAGTTTAATGTGAAGCAGAAATAATAATGCATTATTTCAGTGAACTGCAGTCTTTTATTCCAAATGGTTCAGGTTTTATATAGCATTGTGTAAAATAATGTTCACAACTTCCGTTTGATAATTTATTTTTGCACTATGATTTTTGTTTCAAAATGTATATTATTTATGTGTTCATTCTCTAAAGGAAAGTGAGCTGCTCTATTTATTTATAGCGTTTTTACCCTGTATTTATGACTGGGGGCAAAGTGATGATTCTAGCAGTGCACAAGCAACTGCTTTGATAATTTTTCAGATATTTGTGTTCAAATACTTTGAATGTTTTTCTACTTATCCCCAGTTCTACTGTAGCCTAAGAAGGATGTTTCCCCCCCACCCCGAAACAGCCTGCCGTGAAGTCTTTGAATACACAGATTATGTCTGAGATAATTCAAGCACAGTTGTTGGAGCTCGATCCTATGCTTGCAACTAGGTTCCTGATATAAAAAAAAAAATGCTTAACCTTAAGCATGAGAGTTTAAGTGCTTGGGTAAATTCAAGTATTGATCAGTTGATGTCAGTGGGAATTGGCCATGGTGGTGACAGAAGGATCTATCCCCTAATTTTTCAAAGAACAGAGAATAACTTGGAGTTGAATTTATATCTGAACTCTTTCTTGCAAGAACGGAGAATGGCTACAAACAACTGCGAAGAAAGAGCCACAATATATGAAAAGTGGCTTTTCCTAAAGAAAACTGGAAGTACTGGTATCATTTCATTGTAGGTTACTACATAGATTATTTTTTTTTACATCAACTCTTGTTGCTGTTAAGATCAGTTTTATTTCTTTTAATTGTTTGGTGGAATTTGGCTTTGGAGTGTGTGTATGGGGGGGGTAATTTTGAACTGTAGGACTCAGAGGGCAGTTTGTGTCACATGAGAAGGAACGTGTTGTAATAAATGCTATTTATTTCACCCCATCTTCAGGTTTCTGTTAGCTTCAAATCTCTACCCAGCCATGGCATTTCTCTTAAGAGCTTGGGTAGTGTTGCTAATAATAGCTAACTCCCAAGGAAAACAAGTGAATTTTAGCATGATTACTTCTAGCTATAAAGCAGGTAAAAATAGGGCAGAAATGAGAATAGGAAGTATCTTTGTTTTGACTTTTTTTTTAAATCAAAAGTTTGTATACTTGTTTTGCTGCTTTTATTGCTTTCAATATACCACTTTCTGGGACTGATCTTGCCTCCATCTGACTTTAACTTTCACTGATTTCAATGTGAGCAGAACTGGGCCTTTATTCTAAACTACTGTTTTCCTTTTCAGTTGCAAAAAATAGATTGAATTGAGAATGTTATGGAATGCTACAAGTTTCATTGTTATTTTTACCCAGGATAGCACTCTTTGCCATTCCATGCCTTTATGAAAAAATGCAGTAGAATTTAATGTCAATTTTCCATGTGTTTTTCCACCATCATCTCATCAGAAATATTTATTAACTAAAAGTAATTTTCATCTTAAGTTTCCATAAAACTACCTTTGTTCCCCCTCTTGTTAAATTCTATAGAACTTTTCTATAAGGGTACCAAAGAAATGAATGGAAGACAAACATGTTTCAACCTTGTAATGCAAATGAAATATGTATCCTGTGTTTGCATTGAGCTACTCTAGAAATGCTACAACTTCTTTCCATACTGCTAGATTGTTGCACTTCTTCCATAGGTGGTACTTTACATGCTTCTCCCTAAACAATGTATAGAAGTACGTACGTGTTCTGAACAATAACAATGTGTATGGTTGCTTACACCTGCTATGGCATTTGTCTTCATAAGTCAATAATGAAGTGATCTCTACTTGTTCGCAAGTGAAGCTGCATTAAGTGCAATTCTTCCTTAAACCATTATGTATTATTGCATAACATAAGGGGCCCATATTGCTCCCACAGAAAAAAGTTGTCACTTTGTTACTCTTATTTGTGAGAAAAGGACTTTAAATACCTATTTTAAACTGTTTTCTCACTGATGTCACTATTCTTTTTTCCTGCATGCTATGTCTTCTACATATTCATATTCTGCCTCTTTTGTTGATTTAGAAATTGGCATGGAAAGAATCCTTGATTTTAAAAGTGAATACTGTCTTTTCTATTAGCTTTGAGTAAAGCTGCCAGAATTTCCTAAGCAGAAACTTGTGTACATGCCCTATATCATAAATGCCCAGTGTATTTGTTGCAACCTGGAAACACTGGACCTACTGCATGTAATGCATACAGTTGATCTGCATATGCACAACAAATCGAATGCATCAAGAAAGTTCATCTGTACATGTACAGTAGCATTCTCTCTGGGACTGCTCGATGGCCACACATCCCAGATTAGTGGCTAAAGTCTGCAAATTCTATCAGAAGAAGAAAAAACCCAAAAATTGAGAAACAGATTTTCTAGAGAACACAAACCTGTCCAGGAAAAGCTGGACAAGGAGTAGCCTTAGCCTTCAGTGAATTGAGATGGTAAAGTTTCAGTAATGAGGCTTAAAAACAAAAAAAAAAATCTTCTAGTTATGCCACAGCATTGCTGATTTTTTTCAGTTGTATTAATTAGTACAAGGATGTAAATGCAACATTTATTACAGGCATGAATAAACAGCTGAACAGATTTAAAAATACCCTCACTTTAATTATAGCAACAGCATTGATCAGATAAAATACTAATTGGGGGAGTGTTTTATTTAAGCCTCTCACATTTTTCTAGACACCAAACCCAGTCCCATAACCAGTCTTGCTCATCTGTTAAAAAAAAAATCATGACTCAAACTTCCATTTCCTGTGTGGCCAAGAGGTATTGATTAATCTTTTGTTGCAAGGGCATAAGTAATGCATAGGCTTCTTGCTAGTTCTTAAAAAAAAAAAAAAAAAAAAGGCAATTTTCATTGACCCTAGTGATCAGTCCCCCTTTAAAAAAAAAGGGGGGGGGAATACAAAAAGCAAGTCTTTTGTAATGGGGGCAGAGAGGGAACCAAGATCAAACTATAGATCAGACTGTAACTGAGTCAGTGCCAGTCTCCTGGGCAATATCACGTAAACATCTCCCAGAAATGACTTGCATTTGTAAGATATGGGTTTGTTAATCTGAAATCTCTTCACTTTGCTGTAAATGAAGTATTTTAAAAAATACATTAAAATAAATAACAAAGACTGGCTGTATCACCTTTCCAAATCCTTGTACAGTCAGAGAAGTTTTCTGCAGGAAGTAATACTAATTTTTCATTCCCATATATAGACAGACTTATGACACTCAAAATAACTTTGCTTTGTCTTATATGCTCCTTTGTATAGCGATAACTTAAAGGGATATGTTTCCATGAAAATAGCTGTTATTTTGGCTAGCATGACTTGGTTGAAAGTAAACCTGAGACAGGACTGGATTAATTGGGGAAAAATCATGAAACCTGACAATGAATTTGGACACAGTTGTGCAAAGTAGTTCAGTAGTTTTAATAATGAAATGATAAAATGGTGTAGTAGGCCATTATCATGCTAAGTCTTAAGTGACATTCTGGTGTTAGCTGTAAAAGTTTCTCTTTTTTTTTTTTTTTTTAATTTTAAGTGCTGATATCTTATCTTCCATTACTTTGTAGCAATAAGAGATACCAGCTGTCATACTGAATGGTTGACCTATTGCTTGGCCTATCCTTCTGTCCTGTATGACTACTTACTAACAGAACACCTGAACCACGGATTTCTTAATCCAAAGATTATGTTAATCTAAAAAAAAAAAAAAATCACGTGGATTTTGATGTAGCAAGTCTGGCTTAATCTGTGCTTAGAGAAAGAGCATCTAAAACAAAACTTAATTTTATAAAGGTCTTTTCATAGAATCATAGAATACCCAGTTGGAACCTCAAGGATCACCTGGTCCAACCTTTCTTGGCAAAAGCACGGTCTAGACAAGATGGCCCAGCACCCTGTCCAGCTGAATCTTAAAAGTATCCGATGTTGGGGAATCCGCCACTTCCTGGGGAGATTATTTCAATGGCTGATTTCACAATGAGAACAAAGTTTTCCTCTTAATGATTTCTACATGGTGCTGAAGTTTTACTGGTGTTTAAATTAATGACAGACAGGAGCTATATTTAAATGCAGTGTTTAGGAATGGAGAACATGTTCACAAACTCTTATTTTAAAAAAAGTGTAAATTAACCACAAGTTTTCTGTGCATAAAAACCCAACGGAACTATATGCACTTAGGGTAGTGCTCCCCATTTCCCCGAGTCCTACGTCAGATGAACTCAACCCCTGCTTTCAATGCCTGCTTTAGTTATTTAATTTGTCAGCTTCATAACCTAACTTGTAACTGGTACAGCACATAGCTTAGGATCTGGGGCTTATTCCAAAGCCCAGTAAATCACTGAAAGTCTTATAGCTACAGAAAAATGGTAGTTTCAGCAAAGACACTATTTTGAAACACTTTGCTAAATAAATATTGTCTGGGTACAAGAAACTAATCTGCTTAGACAGGATTAAAATGGTGGATGATAAAAAACTGAACTATTACATTGACTTACTCATCCAGGTATCATGTGAAGTGCTTACTAATGTTGGAGTTTCATAAGGTCTAAAGTAACCCTCACATAGAAGTGCCTGTATTCTGTTATTGCCATTCTTGAGCTTTTTAATAGAGTCATAGCCATATATTTTATAAATATAAACATATGCACCTTTAAATCTTTACATTCAATCTGCAGAACAAAGGTTTACAGAGCAGAAGTGTAGCAAAAACAATGTAATAGCTTCTATAATTCCCTGGTGAGGAACGGGAGAAGTACAAAAATGAGGAGCAAAAGACTATCCGTGTAAGATGTCTTAATTTGGCACCATATACTTGTCCAATTTAATTCCATCAAGCTATGTGGTTACAAGAGTGCCAGAAATATATCTATCAAGCCATTTTAAATAAAAAGTTTTGTGGACTTGTATATTCCATTTGTTTGTAAAACATCCTTTTGTGCACTGTGATGAACTTGAAATGAAACTTAAGTTATACTCTCGTATCACTGAACAGAGGACTGTTCAGCTACCTCTACATAAGGTTGAAGTAATTTGTTTTTTCCAGATTTGTTCACATTGTCATACAAAATATATTTTAAAAAATCATAGTCCAAAGAACCTGTATGTGTTTGTAGATGTACTTATAACTATGTTGTACCAACGAAGTCTGTGTGAAGAGTTGTTTGCTAATTAAAATTTTTGTGTTCTTTACTCTTTGGCTTGCATAAAAAAGAACTACTAAGGTGAACAAATACTACATGTGAGGTGCTTTTTTAGGTGTTTTAGATAAAGGAAAAAAGAACAACTCTTAGATCCTGCAGTCACACAACACTGGTTGGTATGAAAGAACCAAACCATAGAAATGAAGTTGTCCAAACCTCATCACTTTTTTAAAGGACAAGAAGTGTAGTTTTCTCCTCTTTGCTGTAGTAAACTAAGAATAATGGGAACTGAAGAGGGCCTGGCTTACAGCACCACCATCTACTTCCCTGGTACCTCTCATGCATTACTGTTTGCTTTACAGCTTTCTGTGATTTAAAACTATAACCAGGATACCTTTTCATTTAGTCTCAGGCAAGAATGAATCCTAGCCGCATTCATTGCATCTGTGAGGCAATGAAGGACTATTTTCAGTGAAGACCCCTTAACAAGAAGTTCTATAGGGTTTTCAAAGTCCTTATCTTTATAGAAAAAGCTAAAGAATAGTTTTATTCATGAACCTAACATTGAGAGAAGTGACTCCATATCTTATTCTACTAAAAATGTGAAAGAGTTGCCAAAATTTTTAGAAGTTACATATGTATGGGCTGCTCCTTTTGCCTTGTCATTTAAGCAAGATGTAGTATGCTTGTGACTTGCTGCCTAAGTCCCAACCATCTCCGGTATCAGAGATTGGCTTGCTGATCTCTTATGTAAGCTTGTTCAGGCCCTGTATTTATTTTAGAATCCAGGGCACAGGCTACGACTGTATATGGTAAGCCAACAACTAATTATGTCAAGACGACTGCTGTTTTCTGTAACAAAATACATTTGCATTTGAGTAAAGGAAGTGTTTTGGTTTAAGTGCTTTTCCATCAGGAAATAGTAAATAGTCAAAACTGAAGGGAACATGTTGATTTAAACTATTCCTTTAAAGTCATGATTTTAGTTTTGAAAGCTTTAAGAATGGTTATGAAAAAGTGGTGTTTAGATGCAGTATAAAGCAGAGAAAATTTAAACCAAATATAGGATAGCAAATTATTTCCCAACTACTTGCTCACTGTGTTCTCATTTTATAACACTGTACCTACACAGATTTATTCAAATGATATTTGAAATATTCTAAAGTCATCTACACTTACATAATGCTTCATATTAAAATTATCATCCCAAACTGCTAATGATTTCTATCATGTAAAGCAGGTCAAGAGAAGCTACTTATTCCAGTCAAGCCTTTGCTTCCCAGTATAGTTCCCTGACATAGGAACCTGCACTGACTTCACTGGGACTTGGATCAGGACTGTGGGCCATACTAAGCAAAGGGAAGGGTATGTCACACTATAGCTCCTGGCCATCAAAGCCGTGCCACAGCTTTGAAAATGTTGCCATTCAGCTGTAATGTGCTTTTATTTCGTGAATGAGATGCCACAACATCCTGGAACATCTCTTCATGTGCTGTGGTTCTCTGTACGACTGACTGAAAGGTATTGCAACAGGTTTATCTTCAACAGATGCAGCTGACTTCTTAAGTGAACAGTGATTTAGCCTCTGCTACAGCAGTCATGGATTGACTGGTCTTTACTCCCTACTACTCACAATCAGTAAGTAACAATGTAAGGTTATGTGATCTGCCATCCTTTTGGCCACATGTACAGATGAAGAAAGAATAGAAACTGCATTACTAAGCTATTGCAGGGCTGGGCTTGGGTTTTTTTTAGAATGTAGTTCTAATTTTCAAACAGATTTTTATCAGCAGTCACTAATACCAAGTTCTCCAAAAACTACACAACAGAAGAACAGATTAAGTGGTGCTTACTAGTAAACAGTAATGTCATCAGGCCTTCTTTACCAGAAATGTTACATTTTTAACTAACCAGATAAATTGTATATTGATACCAAAAATTAATATACGGAGGCTACCTGAAAAACAGAGCATTGACATAAAGAGCAAGATTTGCTACAAAGACTAGCCCTCAGCTGCCGCATGCTGAACAGTTTACATCTTATGATAGGATGGCTTTCAAGTTGTTAAAGCAGAAAAAAATACTGGCTGAAAGAATCTATATCATGAAAGCCTGCACATGCTGTCAAGACCGGTTTTATGCCAGTGTAACATCTTTTGTTTCAGTAGATCTGCTCTTGATTTATAATGCCATAAATGAGAGGAGAATTAAGCTATTTATGTAAGTGACTTTATTTATATAACTGACTTATGCTGTATTATGTGATGGAAGAGAAAACCAAGCACATGCCTTTTTTGTGTTTTCTGTGAGCTCCAGAAAGATTTTGTAAGAGTAATGCTAGTAATAGTTTTCTCTATGTGACATATTAGAAATTCAGTCTCATCCACATGGAGGTTTTATCATGAGTAGAATACGTGGTAATAGATGACACGATAATGTGGAAGAATTTTAGCAAGTCTGCAGACAGTCTAGAAAATGTGAATGCTGAACATCACAATTTAGACTAAGTTAGTTCAACAAAGCAATTGTTATTCAGGCTCTTCCTTGGATGAGTCAATGATTTGTACTGTGACTATTAGTACTGAATGTACCATCTAAAATTCATTTTGAAAGATTACTGAAGCATTAATGATTTAAAAGTGGTTGCTACAAGTATTTTTTATCAATGAGAAGCCCAAGCACTATCGAGGCTAAAAAGCATACACAAGGATTTTCAACATAGCGGAATTAAGTTTTTTCACATGCTTTTACTTTGTTTTTTACTCCTTAGTGAATGATGACTATATAATATTTAGGAAATCAGGGTCAGTAGAGTAAATGTTTCTGTAGCAATTTGGCAGACACACCTTTCATAACTCATAAAGTCACTACTGGAAAGGCACAACTGGGTCACAGAAGTGCATGGTGGGATGCTGCTTTCCAGTTATGCAACCAGGGTAACTAAAGGTTAGAGCAAGCACTTGAATAACGAGCTTTTTGCCAGAAAGAATAGAACAGAAAAACACAGTGTTTTTAAATGCTGGCTTCTGAGCAGCAGCCGCCTAACGTGTCTAGTTAGGAGTCATCAAACCGAAATAGAACCGGATGCGTCAGAACTTTGAAGAATGGCAGTTCAACATCCCAAAAGAAAAATACATCTGCTTGTATTCCAAAAGCAGATCCTACCGGTTCTCTCATTCCAATAAATGATACTAGAGCCATTTGCAGCATGCTGCTCAGCTTTTTCTCCCGGCCCACTGTAACTGGCTTTCTCACTCATCTCTTGTCTTCTTACTTTCTCCATCATCCAGTAACATCTCCAACTTTAAGGAATTCCACAGTTTGCCTTTGTTCTCTTTCCTGCTTCTACGTAAATGTTACTGGATTACTTCTAATAAATGTAATTATTGCAGAATTCTTACCTAACTTCTGACAGAGGAAAGAAGAGAGAAAGGAGGTTTTGTTTCAACACTATAAAGACTTTCCAAGGTTTAGAGGGCTAGGATCATAGCCCAAGGGCACAAATTATGACATTAACTAACAAACTCCCATCAAGTTTGGGGATACTAGTTACAAAAACTGAACACTATCGC